CCTGGGCAATGGCCGTGAGGCGACTGGTGCCGGTGGCTTTACCCACGCATTGGGTTTCGGCGCGGAAGGTGCGGTAGTGCTACGCTTGCACGAAGACCCCGGCGTCGGGGGGGGGGGGGTTGGTTGGGTATGGGGTGCAGGAGAGGGTGGCCTAGTCACCTAGGCTTTGTCGCACCTAGGCCCGTCGTAACAATTTCTGGCCAAGTGATCGTGTAGTTTGCATCAGTGGCCCAAGATGCCCCTATTTCGGGGGGTTTCTATTGCAATCCCGATTAGGTTATAGATACGTGGGATATTGAATATCTCCTTGTCTTCCGAAGACAGGTCCCATTCGCTTAGCCGCGTGCTTGGGGGATGAGCGGTTTGTCGCTCTTCTTTCCTGTGCGGGGTGCAGTAGACGTGTCGCGGTGTGAGGTGCGCGTGGTGACGGCGCGACGGTTCCCTCGCCGTCCGTAACAGATACACCCACAAAAAAGTTTATCACTCGGACCCAGACAATCCATTTGTGGCTGAAGGTGGAACTCAAACACAGCGAATTGAGTCGCAGTGGCAAGCAGTCAAGAGCTTTTTCACAAAACAAAATTACAAAAATTCACAAAATTTTGCAGAAATTATAGTAAAGTATTCGTGGAGGCGAAATGTTAAAAATAAAAAGGCTCCACAGGTTCAGGAGAAAGATCTTTTTCCACTCTAAAAAGGGTAAAAACCTATTTATGCGCAAGCATGGGCCAAGATAGAATTAATGAATATGAATTAATGATATAAGAAGAGTGTGGTTTGCAAGATGATGCTGTGACCAGGATTAACAAGTGAATGCTTCGGTGGTTTGGTCGTGTAGAAAGAATGAATGAGGAAAGAGTGGCAAAGCAAATTTATGTTGCAGAAGTAAATGGGTGGGTTGGAAAGGGACTTCCTAGGCGAAAGTTTGTCGAACAAATTGGGCAAATTTGTTGTACCCTTAACCGACGAGCCGAGTATATGAATGTGGAGGAGGCGAGAGAAGTGTGTCAGGATCGTGCCAAATGGAAGTCTGTAGTCTCTGCCTACCCTCAGGGTGACAGGTGTGAGTGTTCATGTATATGTATGTATGTATCTATACATAGATACATACCTCATAGTACCTACATTAATTATCATATCACATCAGATCAAATTAATTTTAAACATTAAATCTGGGCTGACACCATATGCTCAGTGTTAATTTACTCGTATTTTAGTTATTTGGCATTTATTGTAATGTAAAAATTGAATTTTTTGGTCATTGACTTATATATAGGTACGTATCCGTATGTATTATATTTGTAAATATTATATCTACTTATAAAACTAAATGAGACTTAGCTGTTAAATAAAAAGACAGTGACAACCTTGTCACAGTAGGCATTTAAGTCACGCGTGGCGTTGGAGTTATTCTACTATAATTATATATTCTGTTTTACTAAGACCGTAATAAGCAAGCTGGCTTGCTTAAAATACTGATACGTATACACAGACATATGAAATAAGGATGCATATTTACAAAAAATATCGATATGTTTCGATGTAATATATCGCGTGGTGACTTCGATGTAAGAATGATATATTGAAAAAATACATCGCTGTTTGAAACACATCGAATGTTTTTTATAGTTTAATACCGGTAAAGACAAAAACTCCAAAATAAAGGAAACAGATTCATAAAATCCAAAGCTTTTATGATTTAGAAAATTATAAAAATATCGAGTTAAACAATTATATAATAAATTATGAGCATAGATTGACGAGTACAGATAAAAATTCAGAACGATATAAGGAAAATTTTAATCTTCATAAATCCCAGTATTTTTGAACTTCCCGCTAAGAAAATTGAACATTTTTAAAAATAGGGAAGTGGTGGTTTCACCCTGATTTTCGATAATCGAGTTTTCATCAGATCTCGACGTTTGGAGATCCCAGCAAGCTATTCTGACTAATTTCACGTGGACGTCCGTACGGACGTATGTATGTGCTGTGTGTGTGTGTGTGTGGTGTGTGTGTGTGTTTTTGTGTGTGTTTTTGTGTGTGTGTGTGTGTCTGTCTGTCTGTTAGTATGTAAACCTTTCATAACTTTTGAACGTCTTGACCGATTGAGATGCGGTTTGCAGTGTTCTAAAGATCTCAATGTCGAATAGATTTGTTGATAATATGAACTGATTCGGACGAGTAGATTTTGAGAAATCTCAAAAAAAAATTTTTAAAAACTCGTTTTTTAATAACTTTAAACGGCTTGACTGATCGATTTTAAAAACTAATCAGCTCTTAAAAACAAAAAATAACGACGAATGCCGTTTGGAAAATAAAAATCAGTTGATTTGTTCGTGAGATATCGAAGGAGAAAGAATTAAAAAAAACGTATTTTTTTAACATTACTTCGGGATTTCGCAACATAATTCGGTGAAATTTGAAACGCTTTGCATTTAAATTTGCAGGAAGTTTCAGGGATGGCCTGCAGGATCAATCAATATTTTTTCGATGCTACGCAAAAATATTTACTATCATCATTACAGCCCTTCACAAGATACTGCTTAACATATCATCACTGCTAAACATAGACCTCCCAGAATGAATGCTACAAAGCACGATCCCGGGTCGGTCACTCGTAGGTAGCCGCCCTGCACGTCGCCTACCGGTACAAGCCTCCCACTCGAGAACCTTTCTTCCCTATCAGTTGTTGGTTCTTTAAGCTACATGGCCGGGCCATTGCCGCTTCAGTTTACTAACCCGTTATGCTATGTCGGTTACTTTGGCTCTACTGCGGATATTCTCATTTCTAAGTGTATCACGCAGAGCAATCCCGAGTATAGACTTCTCCATAGCTCGCTGAGCGACCTTGACCGTTCTCATACGCCAAGCAGTGAAGGACCTAGTCTCAGATCCATAAGTCATCACTGACAACAAACACTGGTTGTACTATCTATTGTTTTCAATTTTTGAGATATACCTGACGAGAAGATGTTTCGTAATCTTCCGAACGCTGCCCAGCCGAGTTGAATCCATCGATTGACCTCTCGGTCGAAGTTAGACTTGCCTAGTCGGACTAAGTATTTGTCCCATGTAAACATATACTCGTCAACAACTTCGAGCTTAGTGCTTGCAATAACTATCGGCATAGGTGTGACATGTAAGTTAAACATGATCTTTTTTTTATCCATGTTTATTTTAAGACTTATTCGTTAAAGAACTTAATAGTGCCTTATTGAGATCTTTGAGCATAGTGCTTAGGTCTTCCAGTGATTCTTCCTTGCGGCCTACATCGTCGTCGTCGGCAAATTGAAGGTGATTGATGTACTCGGCATTCATGTTACTACCGTATCCTTTCTAGTCCAGTAGGCTGAAAACGTCTTCGAATGCAACGGTGAAGAGTTTCGAGGATATAACGTCACTTTGTGTTACACCTCTTTGCAGTTGGATAGGTTCCGTACTCTGGCTCTGTACTCGGATAGACATTTTAGCTCAAGTGTTAAAGTACTTTAACACTTAATTATACAGACAGGCAACTTGGCACCGCTGAAGGGACTTTAGACCCGTCCAAATTTCTACGGAATCAAAGGCTTTTTCGTAGTCCATATACGCAAGACAAAGTGCTACTTGTACTGTTCGATCTTCTGTACAATTTGACGATGGGTATGTATATGGTCTATGGTGATAAAGCCTTTTCAGAAACCAGCTTGTTCGAGAGGATAGATGTCTCAAGTTGCATGCGAGAGGATTCGTAATGACACTTTTAAACAGCACGTAGATGTACCTCAAAAGGGAAATCAGTCTGTAGTTCTTCAAACAAGCGTTGTCACCTTTCTTAAAAAACAAGACTACCGCACTTCTGCTCCGCTCCTCTGGGGTAGTCCCACCATGTAGGACAGAATTAAAGAGTTGAGGGATTGATCAGAGTTTGTCAAACCTTTAAAAATTCACAACTCCGAAAATATTAACTTTATCGTAAAAAGTCGTAGGATCTTTTTTAATCGTAATTCATTAAATAATATACAATAAAGTGTACTGTTTAAAAATAACGATTATTTACAATTGAAAAAAATATGGCAATATGGCCCCATGGCAACATGCATTTATATTATCAATAGGACAAATGAAGAGAATCGCATAAACAAATTGAATAGTGACGGACTGACAGGTAATTCTGTATTGGGAAAAAGCACTATGGCTATTCCTCTCCGCCGCGCCTGTGTTGCTCTATGGCGTCAACAACACATCGATTGAATTCGATGCATCGTTACTCTCGATTTATAATCGGGTGTATTAATCCATCGATGTATATCGGGCGTCCCTAGTACGAATTGTTTATGTTATTGTTAATTGTTATCATTATCATTAACAACATGCGTAAGTCGTATTAGTTGTGTCTATTATTTATTATGTGTTTGTGTTTACAACATAACAAGTATATGTATATACAGCAACAAAATTTAAAGTCACAAACGCACATCATATAAATAATTAGATTTTCTTTATTGATCAGTATTTTCAGTATTTTATTGTTATCGGACTAAAAACAACGTTACCATACCAAAGCACGAACGCTGCGCTAAACGCTAATGCGCTTTGGTTGCGATAGTTAATCTCTTTGTTATTTATACAAAGGTACTCTGCGCACGTGCAGCTGCCTCGCAGCTGCAGATACGCAGATACAGATAGCAGATAATTTTTGTTTTTATGTTTCTGTCATCCAAACTGAGTTGTGTTGAGTGCCTATCGAAACGTACTATTAAAAAAGTTATTAAGTATATAATTATAGTTTATTAGAAATATAATAGTGTATTAGAAAACACCAGTTATTGCACGCAACCAAATATGTTCCATAATTTACTTTTTTGTACTTTGTGTACTTTGCTTTTTTGTATTGTGTTTCAATATTTGTGATTGTTTTTAATAACACTAGCGTAATTTCAGGTCTGTTTTATTATTAGTAGTACTTAATTAATTGAATAATTTATGCACTTTTAATTATTAAATAAAATTGCGTTATAATGGCTTATGACGAAGAGCATCGTACGGAAAGAAGTCCAGGAATAAGGATACAAGGTCCACCTGGAAGACCATTCAAACTTACAATAGAAATTCCTCTAATGCTGTGTATGTTGGGCTGGTCAATGACTGGTAAGTTCTTTTTTTGTATCAATGAATGTAGATAATAAATATTATTCCTATTTTTAAGTCAGGATTTTTATTTAATTTAATTTTAATGCTGTTGCTAATCATACGATTATCGTATCATTAAAAAATTGTCATTCATATGATTATCGTATAAATAAAAAATACTTATTTGTCTGATAATTTTTAAAATTAAAAAGTTCAATTCTTTCAATATTATATTTTATATCGTTATAATATACCTGGCTTGAGGATGGTTCAAGGGCCACCCCAGTCACACCTTAATTTACTGTCACTAATATTGCAAGTGGTGTAATGATTTATTAGACTCAAATTCCTAATCATATGACTAATTATCTAATATTACTTTATTTTATTCAATTATTTAAATTATTAAAAATATTATTTATTGTATTTAATTTTTAAATCAAAAATATATCGAATGAATAAAAGTTAATAAATTGTAAAATAATTGTATATACAAGAAGAAAAGAACTATCCGATTATCATCTGAATAGACACTTATTAATTTTAAAGTAATGGTAATTTTAGATTGATACAAAAATCTGTGATTCTTTTGAATAGCTTTTTATTATTTTTTAAGGTTCAGCTATAAGTAATATAATTTTCTTTCGAACATGTGTGCACTCTTTAAACCACACTGCAGAAGAATGTAAAGGTTTCTTATCTCCAATAAGATCCAATTCTACAAAATTATTAGAAGAAAGTGTGCAAAAATATGCTACATTTGTGTTAACTGTGAAAATAGTTATGGAGTCTATATGCCCTGCTGTGCTTTCAATGTTTCTTGGAGTGTGGTCGGATACATATGGTAGAAAACCTTTGATTGTGTGGCCAATGTTAGGTAAGTTAATGCTAAAATAAAAAATAGCCTTGTTATGAAAGTTATATGTGTACATTTAAAAATTTTCTATATAATCTAATTATTAGATTAGACAGAATGGAAGATATGGGTTCTTATAATCCCATGGGTGTTGTAAGAGGTGATGGAGGAAAATAAAACAGGAGATGCACAACAGCTTCTTGTTAAAAATTCAAAATAATGAATAACAATAGTTGTTGCCGAGTTGTTGCCGACCTGCCTGCTAAACATTGATACAAAAGCAAATATCCCACCTATATGGCAGTCTTTGCTTCAGACCTATGTTTAGCAGTGGACTTAGAAGTGCAGACAGGCAGAGTAAAATAAAATAGAACATTTACTAGAATGTTCTATATTATTTCCATCTGCCATATCAGAAATCCTAATCAATCTGTTCTACGTTATTTATCACCTCACAAAAATCCATTGCTGGTCATGAGCTTCACCTGTCATAAAGAAGATTCGCCTTTATTGTTATGCTTGGCAGGTGGAGAGACAATTCCAGTGTCAGATGTCTAGCACTGCTGTCCGTCGGGGATCTGAGTAATATTTGTCAGACATAAACAAAATGGTTATACTAGTATGTTACCTATGAGAAAGCATATGATTTATTTGGCACTTCTCATAGTATCCTCATAAGGTAACCTTGGAACAAATGCTGTCACTAAGTGGTAACTGGTTAACTTTACTTATGAAGAATAAATACTTTGTGTATTCAGTGACTGTATATTTATGTATTCAACAATTTTTTAGTTTTTTGTACTTTTGTGTGTAGTTTGTGTAATATAATTTATAATATTTGTTGATTATGTAAGGTTGTAGGGTGTATATTAGTTTATGTGTTGGTGTATATTATTTTATGTGTTTATCGTAGTAAAATGTATGTCATGAAATAATAATTTTAGGTATGACACTGACATCAATGCTGGTTGTCATTTATGGCATGGTAGACTTGAACCCTTGGTTGTACATCTTAACCATTGTACCGTTTTCTGTAACTGGTGGTTACGTAGTTTTATTTACTGGTGCATATTGTTATGTGAGTGACATAGCTACAAATGATAGCACATCATTTAGGTAATGATAAACTATATACTAATAAAATATATACTTATAAAATATTCACATAGTATTTTAACATATTAAATTATGTTAGTATATTATTTATATGTTAAACTTTTTTTAAGGATGACTTTAGTTGATGCAACATTATCAGTAGGAAATGTTATAGGATCATTATTGAGTACATATTTAATTTTACATATTGGTAATGTCAATTTGTTGCTGCTGGTGGCTTGCATTAATGTAATGGCATATACATTTACTAATATTTTCCTAGAGGAATCTTTGACAGGCGCTCTACAGGTAAGAATATAGATGTACATATATTTTTTCCATTACATATGTAAATTTACATTTAATTTAAAAACACACAGATTATTGAAATTCAAATTGTATTATTTATATGTGAGAGAGTCACATCACAACTATATTATGGTTTGTAGCACTAATGGGTCGGCTCAACTGTTGAAGAACCTTGACCTTACAGAATACCAGCTCAAAATAACAACTTCATTCTGCTGTATTTCGAATGGTGAGTACAGAGAACTAGAAACTCATTTTTACTAGAAACGAGGCATTCCATCTTATTCCTCAGGGGTAACAACACATACATTCTAATTCAAGGATAGATTTAGTTGTCTATGCCTTGTTACCTTAATTCTACAAAAAAATATTTAAAGTTTTGAGTAAGCTGTTAATGGTACTCATACATACAGTAACAAGTGATACCTTGCGGAAATGTCTTTGAGATCATTGTTTTTTGGTCAAGGATATACGAGAGCTATTTTCTGCAACAAACAAAAAATAGGAAGTGTAACTGAATTATTTATGGTTGGCAAACATAGCCAGAAAAGTTAAAAATATCAACAAAATTCTTTTTGTTGCAATAAAAAATTAATGTTACGAACTATTTAGGTCCCACCGCTGGGAACAGGCCTCCTTTTATTTCTGAGAGGCATATAATAGAGCGATTAGTCCATTGTGCTGCTCGCTAAATATTTTATTCCTCTCACAAGCAGGTTTCCTTATGATGTATTCCTTCACCACCAGGCACGTGGTAAATCAGAACTTATAATGCCGATGTGTATTAACATGGTTTCCACAGGCATCAGTGAACAATTTCATTTATTGATACTCTTAATGACATAATGTCCTCCAGACCGAATTTCGGTCACGGCGGCCAGCCTCAATGGGGACTGGCCATCGGCGCAGGATAGGATTATAGGGCACAATTGTATGCGCAAGTACAGGTGCACTCTCTATTCCCTCACTCTCATAATCCGATGGAACAGTAAACCGACACGACCGGAGAGAGATCAGGCGCAGGACCAACGGATTTACGTGTTTCCGAGGCACGGGGGTAAGACACCGCCAACTTCCTGACTCTGGACAGCTACTGAGAATTTCTCAGCGGAAAAAATTTCAAGACCTAATGATCAGCAATCGCACTACTAAAACCACTAGACCAACGAGGCAGTCATTAATGAAAACGAATTACGAAAACCATATTGCCCGAGTACTGTCAATTTTACGGCGAACCTGTGCTGCCATACTTCTCACGGCACAGATGATGCCGTATTGTTTAAAATATAAAAAGATATTTCTGTGAGGTGTATGCACAATATATCTTTTTAAATATTTGCAGTTGTTTTTTTTTTTAATTTACAAAATTGGGTAATCAAAATACTCACTAAGTTTTCTTTCAGGGCGGCTTTAGCAAAATTCTAGACTGGTTATACGTAAAAGAAATGGCACATGAATGCTTCAAGACGCGTCCCAATCACGGGAAAGCTCAAATAATATTACTCATTGTAGTTAGAACTCTGTCAGTATTCCTTGTATTTGGTACATTAGGTATCGAGTATCAGTATGTCAGAGAGAAATTGCACTGGGCTTTGCAAGAATTTAATACATACACTGCAGTGAGCACTGCTGTTATTTTTGTAGGCAGCTTTCTGGGTGTTACAGTGATACAGAAACTACTGCCAGTCAGTGATTTAATGTTGACTACTGTAGCATTTTTGTCCGCCATAGCTGAATTTATTATTAAAGCATTTGCTGTGACAACATGGCAGATGTATTTCAGTAAGTATACATTTTGTTTTAGCTGGTATTTCCGAGAATATTTTAAAATCACAAATGATTACATGTTATCCATCTGTTCGACTTTAAACTACGACGATAACAACCGTATCTATTATATACTTATTATATATATTTAAAGGAGTTATTAAAGTGCCAAATTTATGTCACAGAATGAGTGCGTGACTTTTTTTTCATTCTTTTTTATTCATTCATCTCCTACTTACCCGTGCTCTATGTGACGGTTATTTATTGGCTTCATCTGACGGAGGCAGGATCCGTTGCGTAATGGCCAGGTGTAAGATTTTATTTAAATATGTTAGGTCCTATAAAATTTATAACATAGTTTAGTTTCAAGTTCGATATCTTGTTAAAATCTTAGACAGTCTTAAATCAAAGCTTTTCAAAATCAGTTGGTCATAATAATATTGAAAATTAGCGTTATTTTAAATTATGAATTACTGAGCCGTACAGACGGCATGTTATAGCGCATCTATAGTACCTGATCAATGACATTATTTTCATAGATAAGGACCAAATAAAATGGGCGGTGCGGTAAGCGAATTTTCAGTCGACTTGAAAAAGGTTTTCAATACGACTGAACGTTTTTTTTGTATACTTACCTATGGCTCGGTGCCGGCGTCAGAACTGACAATACCGCCCACTCTTCTATTTCCCCTGAATTTGTAGAGGACTGAGTTTCGTTTGGTATCTCAAAGGTCTTTAGGGGCTGCAGTATCCAATTACCATCAGGTGGACTTTGTATTCGTTAGTCACGCTTGTTCGATAAAAATATTTTCGTTATATTATGTACACAATAATATTATATCATTTTTATGACATAAAAACATAGATGCATATTATTTCAATGACCTAGATCTAATGTCCTGTTTTGCCGCCCCCTTAAAAGTGCGTGCGTGCGGAGCCCTGCATGCCAGCTGCCGGCGGCTCCATGTATGTTACGCGATATCGCCCATTGTAAATCTATTTTCATGATTCTTCTTTATTTTAAATAGGTATTACTTCAGGGGTGGTCCCTCCATATATTTGGAGAAGAGCTTGCACACCTAAGGTTGGCAAAATAGTGGATGAATTTTTTAATGTAACTATTTAGACGGCATTGAGATCGTTGTATTTGTCCTTAGTCCATTCAAAAGGGAAAAATAACTTTTAATAACCTTGAAGTGTAAAAACACTCAATTTCTCACACTGTGTGAATAGAAAAGTAGTGGTTTCCGAGATATTGTGACGATAATTAAGAAAATATTGCTTCGGTGGTTTGGATATGTATATATATATATATATTATACGTGGTAAGGCCACGCTGCAGTTATATTATGGTTGTACCACCAATGGGTCGGCTCGACCGGGGAAGGACCACGCTCTCACAGAATACCAGCGTAAAATAGCAGCTTAATGCTGCTATGTTTCGTATTGTGAATATAAGGAACCTGAGACCCGTTTTACTGGAATCGAGACATTCCATCTTAGTCCTCAGGGGTGACATCGTATCTGCATTTTGATTCTTAATCGAGGTTAAATGTAGATGTCTGTGGGCCATAGCATCCACTTACCATCAGGTGGACTGAGTGCTCGTTTGTCACCCTTATTCTATAAAAAAATGTAGAAAGAATGAATGAGGAGTCAATGACAATTATGCTGTAAAAGTGCGCGGCAAGACTGAAGTTTATCGACCAAATTGTTTATATACTGATATTATACCAAGAAGATGGGCCAAGTAAGCCGAATAGCATGTGTGATGGATGTGAAAGAAGCGTGAGAGATGTATCTGGATCGTGATAATGGAAGTCTCTAGTCTCGGCTTTTAAACATGAGCTAGACAGAGACTAGCTCATGTTTAAAAGCCGATTTCAGAAATAAACAGAATATTTTAACATTCTGAAGGCGTTCTAACACTGTCTTAGCACCAACTTTATAGTGGAACATTATTTTATTCTTTTTAATTGTTTGAAGCCGGCTTTAACATTTTATCTGTTAATTTTTTGGACTCAAATTTAAAAACCTAATATATTTTTTCAGGTGTTATTATATCAATATTCAAGGGTTTATCGGGACCTTTAATTAAATCATACTTGTCAAAAATGTTGCCAGTCGAGGACATAGCAAAGGTTTTCGCAATGATGTGTGCCATAGAGGGTTTGTCTCCCTTGATAGCTCCGGTTGTATGCAGTTCAGTGTACGTTGCTACGCTGACGACGTTCCCAGGGACAATATACTTAATAGGCTGTGGGCTTACAATCATTTGCGTCGTGCTGCTTGGGTAAGTAAATTAACAATTCCTTTCATTACTCTTCCTACTATCCCATAAAGCGGAGGACACATTGTACCCTATCCTGTGTTGTTACTTGGAACCAGTATAAATATCTTTAAACCTATACACCCGATTGACATGAAAATTTATTATAGTTACCCATTTCGCATTGTGAACGCTCAGTCGAACGGATTTTACGATAGCCCTCAAAAAAATTCATGTTATTTTACATCTAGGTCCGCAATAAAATATTATCGTGCGTCCAGCGAGGCGAGCGGGTATCAGCTAGGTAATGTAGGTATATTCGATACTTTAATAGAGCTTAAATACAATAAAGATTAAAATACAATAAACATTACCTAACCGTCTGCGGTAAAAATAATTGTATTGCCATTTCAATTATGTTAACGACTGGTATAACTGATAAACATAAATTGCAAATGACATAATTAATACATATGCGTAATATGTGGAAATATAAGCTTATTATTTACGTCGCGATACTAGGTTCGAGTCCTAGAAAGAGTCAGTGCTTGTTTACTTTCCCATCTGATGGTAAGTGGTGATGCACCGAAGATGAAAAAGCGCACTGACTTTAGGTAAAGAAAAACCTGTTACGGTGGATCATCGGTAATCCCACAAACATTTTGTGGGGCAGTGTCGGACTAACGAATTTTTCGAATTATAGAGTACTGCCTAAGACCCTTAAGTATAGTCCGGATATTTTTTACAAAAAAAAAATAAGTGCCTAGTAATCCGACAAATTACAGATCCAATGATAAGATTCTACATGGTATATATAATATGTAAGTACTCTGAAGTACAAATCATACTTCATTATGCATATGTCAAATTTAGTAAATTAAATAACACAATAGAGAGTTTATTTAAAATCGTTTTATTATAAAAGTAACGTCATTAAAGCTATAGAACTTAGGAAAAATATGCAATAACTTTACATTAGGAAATAATTGTGTGCAAACAAATGAACATAGTAAAATAATCAAACATTATGAATCAATCAATTTAATAAGCATCAATTTAAGAGCGCTCAAATCAAATCAAGTAGCAATAACGCTTTTTGAGGAAAATTATGATCTTTCAACTATTTTCAGAATTAAATTTTTCAATCAGAATCAAAACAATATCCTACGCGTCAAGCACAGTAGTGATGGAGCGTACAAGTTATAACTTGTTTAATCATGCATTAGCGAAGATTGTCAAAAAATATTCAATAATAAATAATAGACCATGTCGGATTACGGGAGGTCTGCTGTATATATTTTTCTACGTACCACTTTGAGAAAGAGCCTAAGCTCGCGTACCGTCATAATCGAAAATAAAATATTTAATATCATAATCATAAATTCGCCATTCATTAACTTCTAAACAATTGTAATGACAATGAACATCACATCGGATATTTGCGTTCAATGCGACATACTAAGGGCGGCTGATAAGTCCGTGGCCCAAGGTACTTAACAATGCTTATAATTATTATCTCACTAATTATGACACTTATTGCTATTAAACATAACCTTCTTGCGATAATAAATCCATTAGCAAATTATCTGTCGAAGGGCAAACGCTATCATGACAGCCGATTCGTCAAAGGAGACAATTTATTATTGTATGTGCCCTCCACAAATTTCAGCGACAATTATGAAATGCACGTCGATTTATTCCTCATAATATATATATATATATATATATATATATATATATATATATATATATATATATATATATATTTATACAATATGTAACGTAATTAACGCACACCCTCAGACACCCCAATTAGTATATTATGTTATAATCATAATACATACACTGAATTTTAGTTAAACATTTTTATGCACTGATTATTTATCAAATTAGTTATACTAATTCCGGAAGAATGTTGTGGTCACAGTACAAATCCACGAACGTAAAGACTTTAACGTGCTTGAAATAAAGTTAATTTTTCTTTATTTTTATTGAATGACAGAATTAGTAATAATACAAATAAAACTGCACTCTTAAAAGTCTTATTGCCTTAAGTTAAGGACCATTTCAGTTTGTTTTGACTGTACAGATTTAGTGTGACTGTAATTTACGTAGTTTTAATTATTTTTGGGATAAAAAATTACCTATATTAAAAATGATAGGAATCGATTCAGTGAACGATTCTGAACAAACTACTTTCTCAAAGTGCGTTAATTATGTTACATGTTGTATAATATTATAGTTTACAATAGTAATATTAGTTTTATCGCATCTAACCAAAAATACTGAGAAATTAACAATTAAAATACGAATCTTACAATAACCTAAAAACAAACTTAATGCCATTGTCTAGGAGTTTTCACTGGTATTATAAACTTAAAATAGTGCACTGTTCGATAATTAATAGTATAAAACAAAGTTGCAGGTACATAAATGTGCATGTGCGACTGAGGCCAAAAAGCCTAAAAAAAAGAACAAGCTTTGGCATCCGACAGATGGCGGAATAACCATCTCGGTTCTCTGGTCGGGCCAAAAATATCCAGATCTGTGACGGGCAGCATCGTCACAGATGCGACGTGTCTGGTACTGCGATCGCCAACCCGCTTGCCCAGCGTGGCGATTAAGGGTAATACCTCCCAATGTTAAGCACCATAAAAACACGGCCCCCAGTTCCCGGCCGTTCCTATGTACCTGACCGTGGTGGCGGTCGTGGCAGCGGGACATGGGGTGCTAAGAATCTCCGAGAGAGGGCAGGATACCACCACAAATTGTACCTGGCGACGTACAATGGACGTACTCTGCGGCACGAGAGAACATTGCAAATTAGAAGTAGAGTTGAAAAATGTAAGATGGCACGTTCTGGGGTTGAGTGAAGTTCGAAAAGAGGGAGAGGAGAGAGACGCTAATTCTATAATCAGGCCACCTACTCTACTATCACGAGGGACATGATCTTTCCCAGGGTGGAGTGGGCTTCTTCGTCAATAGAGTTCTCTGTGACAACATTTTCGAAATCTCCAGTGCGTCGGGAGGGTAGCGTATCTTGTTTTAAAACTAACTGAAAAAAATCTGTAAAGATTGTACAAGTTTACGCACCAACTTCGACACACTCGAACGATGAAGTTGAAACTATGTATGAAGACGTAGCGAAGGCATTACATAACACCACTAAAGCCCACTTTAATGTTTTCATAGGGGACCTTAACGCCAAAGTTAAGAAACGCAAGTGTTGAATTGATTATAAGACCGCACGAATTTGGAAGCAGAAGCCACAGGGGGCAAATGCTTATCAACTTCCTCAAAAAGGAGAGGTTTCATCTAGTGAATTCCTATTTTCAAAAAAAAACCCCAAAGGAAGTGGATCTGACGTGGCCCCGACAACTTGACAATAATGAGGTCGTATTCATCGTGACAAACAAAAAGTACATATTCAGAGATTTCTGTGATCTATAGGTTTAATACCGGAAGCGATCACCGACTTGTTCGAGGCACTCTGAATCTCGATTTCAAGATTGAAAGAGCCCGTCTGATGAAGTCTACGCTCCGACCAAATGTCTTTCAAACCGTAGCGGCATCCCAATGTTTCCAGATGGAACTCCGGAATTGAGTCGTAATTGTACTACCGGTCAGTGCAGTCGCTTCATAATGACGTGGCGGCTCTAATGCTGAACTACAATATTTTCGTAGCGTAAGTATACCTACTGCGCGAAAATAATTCGAAATGGCGTGTCAACCGAAACGCTCCGATACCGTCGTAGTTCACGAGTTCCTGGCCTTTGTTCAACAAAAATTGGACGTTATGGACCAGTTGTCTCTGGAGCAGATTTTGATGACAAGCTTCACCGAGGACGAGATCAAAGAAGGTGTTAGCAGATTCAGCCGTGACCCAAATCCGTCTTATCACACGTCACAGAGATGGACGTGCTAAGAAAGACCTGCAAGACATCTTAGAGAAGAGGTTTGAGGATGTTGCCCGAAAATCTTCACAACCGGCACTGTCTTGTGGTCGAAAACGAAAGAATGTGGATATAAAATCAGTTCATGTGATGACCCGAAACAAAGAAAAAACGACAGGTTTACTCTTGTTGAGAAGAGACGTCGGTCGAGACCCGTCTGTAACCTGCGTGGGACCGCAAAAATAAACGCAAGTACAACTCTGCGTATTGTGGTGCCCACCATACAACTCTACATCTCCCGTTTAGACAAAAGTACGTCGGGAGAAGACGTCCTGTGTTTTGTGGAAGAACGAAGCCGATGCGGCATAGATGATCCGATCTCTTTACATTTGCAGCATCTGGAGTCTAATAGGACAACGAACTTCAAATCCTACGCACTCCAGGTTCCTGCAAAATCCAAATAGACATTCCTTTCTCCCGATTTCTGGCCCTCTGGGGTAGTGTTTTGCAGATACAGGAACGCGCCAAAGAAGAAAGTTCCCTAAATAGTGTTATATTTATATTTTTATATATTTTTAGGTTAAGGTATATTTTGCTATGGGTATGGACCAAAGTTCTTAATTTTTAAGTCCTTGATGCCTGAAATAAATTAATTGTATTGATTCCCATTGGACATTGACGAGGATCTCACTAGTGTAGTTAAGACCTTAAGGGATGAGGGGAATAGGTTGTGCAGTAGGCAATATATAAGCTCTCAGACGACACACTTCAGCTTCAGCTGCCACTCAGCAGACTCTCAAGGAAACCTGTACGGCAGGACCTGCGGCGCTCTAATGCAACTCTTATTCAAGAGGCAAAGAGCGAAACAAGGGTCCTAAAGTCTTTGCTTGGGAGGAGCCCCATTTTTTTTATAGAAGAAGGGGCAAACGAGCATGCGGCTCACCTGATGTTAAGTGACTACCGCCGCCCATGATCAACCGCAACACCAGGGGAATTGCAGGTGCGTTGCCGGCCCTTTAGAAAGTAGTAAGCTCTTTTCTTGAAGGTCCCCAGTTCGTATCGGTCCGGAAAAATCGCCGGTGGTAAACTATTCCACAGAGAGGTCGTACGCGGAAGAAAACTCCTTTTGAA